GTGGCAAAGAGTCATATTCAAGGCACAAAATTCTTAACCAGTCAAAATCCTCTCTTAAGATCAAGGAGAGTTCCTCGGATAAATGGCAAGGATCTCAATGTAAATCCCGTAAAACTAGGGACAACCCTATAAATATTATGTAACGTCTCCAAGAGAGGGGGACCGGAGGAACATACAATCGGTCTTGTAAACCTTTCAGATAATCTATAAAGAAAAAAGAAGCAAGAGTCTCCATTGAAGAGTGGATTAGTCAAACTCTCGAGCTGGTGAACCACTATATTTTCCTTGTGTAAATCTCTCAATATCCCCTCAATACCAATCCTTGTTCTTTCGAGCCTTGCAGCTCAGATCCTAATAGTCACATACTAATACTGCTTATCTCATTTGTTCAGTATCACAAAGTTGCATCACAAAGTTGCATCACGTTGATTTACACTATCATAATTAATGAAACATAAATTAAAAATTAAAAATTGAAACTGCAATAAAAAATTCTCACTTGAGAAGGGTCTCAATAACTTTTGATGGCCGGGCAAAGATGAACTTGCTTTTGTTTCTTTGATTTATGAACATTGAATGCAGCACATGGAATGCCAAAAACCATAGCGGAACGTTTACAATTATCTGCATTCAAGTCAATTTTATTTCGAGTTAGATAAGTTAATTTTATTTCAAGTTAGATAAGTCAATTTTATTTTTGAAACAGAAAGATATTAGGTGAATGTTTACTTACATTCCTGAAGACGAGTCCTGGATAATTTTCATGAAGCAGCAACANAGAATAATTTTCAAATATGAGCTCAAGGAAGTCAGATCAAGAGGTCAGGGAAGACACGCAGAGCTCAAAGAATCAGAGTTAGAGCACCCCCAGACGCGACAACAGCGAAAATGATAAGGGAATAGTTGGATGACAACAAAAATCTTATAGGTGGCAAAGAGNGTTAGAGCACCCCCAGACGCGACAACAGCGAAAATGATAAGAGAATAGTTGGATGACAACAAAAATCTTATAGGTGGCAAAGAGCCATATTCAAAGCACAAAATCCTGAACCAGTCAAAATCCTCTCTTAAGATCAGGGAGAGTTCCTCGGATAAATGGCAAGGATCTCAGTGTAAATCCCGTAAAACTAGGAACAACCCTATAAATATTATGTAACGCCTTCAAGAGAGGGGGACCGGAGGAACATACAATCGGTCTTGTAAACCTTTCGGATAATCTATAAAGAAAAAAGAAGCAAGAGTCTCTATTGAAGAGTGGATTAGTCAAACTCTCGAGCTGGTGAACCATTATATTTTTCTTGCGTCAATCCCCCAATTTCCCCTCAATACCAATCCTTGTTCTTTCGAGCCTTGCAGCTCAGATCCTAATAGTCACATACTGATACTGCTCATCTCATTTGTTCAGTATCACAAAGTTGCATCACGTTGATTTACACTATCATAATTAATGAAACATAAATTAAGAATTAAAAATTGAAACTGCAATAAAAAATTCTCACTTGAGAAGGGTCTCAATAACTTTTGATGGCCGGGCAAAGATGAACTTGCTTTTGTTTCTTTGATTTATGAACATTGAATGCAGCACATGGAATGCCAAAAACCATAGCGGAACGTTTACAATTATCTGCATTCAAGTCAATTTTATTTCGAGTTAGATAAGTTAATTTTATTTCAAGTTAGATAAGTCAATTTTATTTTTGAAACAGAAAGATATTAGGTGAATGTTTACTTACATTCCTGAAGACGAGTCCTGGATAATTTTCATGAAGCAGCAACATAGTTTTCTTGCTAACACAAAGTATTTCCCTCATGGCCGGTCCAGGACCAGGTGTGTTCTTCAAATCTGTAATCTGAATCATAGAGTCCACCCCACCAGGTTTGAAACTGAGCTTTTGAATACCATTTTCCATGAATTGCACCTTCCACTTCAAATACTCCTTAGATTTCTCTTTCCTCTCAAACCTTTTCTTGATCACTTCCTTGTCATTGATAGACCAATATACATTGTAACCCACCGGTCGGCCTCGCTTGTCCACGCCATTTATGTACCCCATGTTTTCAAGATCAGGACCGAAGTTTTCCTCATGAATTCCCTCTGCATTGATTTCCATTCGCCATTCCAGTGTCTTCCTGAGCATATGGAACGCATCCGAGACCTTGAAATCTTTTGCTTTCAAGAATTTCATTAGAACAACATCAGTGCCTTCATGGCCATTGCTTGGCAATAGAGGAATGCCCCAGAGAGTAATGTCCCTTAGATTTTCTTTCGCCCTATAATTTCCTCTTGAAAAGGATTTTCCATGGCTTTTCCCTAGAAGATAATTGCTGAGAATTGCATCTTCCACTCTGCATCGAAATTCAAGCAAAGCTTTCTTTCGTGAATGATTCAGATCATTTGAAGCCAGGTTTTCATCTTCTTGTGCAATGGATTCAAGAATTTCTTTTTCGGTTTCTTGATCATTGTGAGAGTCGTCATCTGCATTGGCCTTCGAGGGAAACAAGTTTTCCTCCGACATTTCCATTCTTTTCAAGATCTCCCCTGGCTAGAGTTCCGGCGGCCGGAGGTGTTACTCGCCGGTAACCCAAAACCCAGTGGTGGTAAGATTGTTTGGGCAGGGAGAGAAAGTGTCCACCAATGATTTTTCTACCTTACTCTTCTTCTAGAAGGGCAATGAATTGGTGGTTTCCAAAGATAGCTTGGTTATGGCCAGCTAATGTGAGTTTTCAAATTCCAACGGTGGGTTTTGGTGGTGCCAAGTCTGGGAATGACAAAAAGGGAATTAAATTACTGTTCTGAAGGAAAAAAAAATCNTCCAACGGTGGGTTTTGGTGGTGCCAAGTCTGGGAATGACAAAAAGGGAATTAAATTACTGTTCTGAAGGAAAAAAAAATCGAGTGTTTAACTGATGATCTGGCAGGTGAATTTGCTGCGGCTATCTTAGATTTTTGTGTTCCAATTTTGATAACTCTTTTAACGTTAGGTTCAAATCTTCTTAAATACTTTAGTTTCAATATAAATGACGTGCTTTTAATTGGAATGAGGATAATCGAGGTGTGCAATTGATCTAAACACTTCTAACCNAAATGACGTGCTTTTAATTGGAATGAGGATAATCGAGGTGTGCAATTGATCTAAACACTTCTAACCGTTGAACTAAAAACAAAAAATCAAAATTAAGCTCATAAATTATGTTTTGTGTTAATTTAGTCCATAAACTATATCATTTATGTCAATGTGAGCCTTTCGTCTAAATTCGCATAATTGCATCACATGAGTTGGGAATTAAGGTATAGTTTAAGAGTCTAGGCTAAATTTTTCGTGAATATTTTAGTTTTAATGTAAATGATGTGTTTTTGATCAGACAAAGGAGGGGAATAGTCAAGGTAGGCAGTTAATCTAAACACTCACGACCGTTGAACTAAAAAAAAAGTCAAAATTAAGCTCATAAATTATGTTTTGTGTTAATTTAGTCCTTAAACTATACCATTTATGTCAATGTGAGCCTTTTGTCTAAATTTGCATAATTGTATCACGTGAGTTGGGGATTAAAGTATAGTTTAAGAGTCACGTGTTACACACGCATGGAATTTTGTTAAACTCAACGACGAATTTGAATGAAAATGTCATATTGACACAAATATTATAGCTCAGGGGCTTAATTGACATAAATGATATAATTTATTGACCAAATAAATAGTTAACTCTAATTTCAATCCCATGCTTCAATCAATTTAATTCAATGATTACAATTCATCATATCAGCAGGTAAAATTAATAAATTAGGTACAAAAAATATTTTTTAGTGTACATAGAAACGAAAACATTTTGAATGTTCGGATTGAAAAAAAATAAAATTTTAAATCCTTCACTATTTTGAATGACAATCACAAATGATACAAGAAAAAGGACCAACCATGAAGACGAAACAACACTTTGAGATGCAAATGAAATAATTAAAAGGGTTACCATAAAATTAATAAATTATCCAAAAATATAACATGTATGCAAATGATCTTCCATGAAAAAAGACTGCGGGTCATGTTTTATTTTTTACCATGGTTATCTGTGTGTCTGAAGGCACAATATAATGTAAATAATTTTGAAAGCAATGTTGATAACCGTTGAATAAATCTATTTGAAACCGTCGAATAAACTTATTAAAGACTTCTTTGTTTTATATTTTTTATTTTAACTTATATTTGATAGATTTTCTTAGACCAAGGAATCTAGTAGGGATGCAACTCGAATGGGTTGGACAATCAACCCTAATCCAACCCTAAGTATATAATTTTTAACCCTAACCCTAACCCTACCTCGGGTTGGGGAACTCAACCTGAGCACTGTCCGAGTTTAATTCGGGCGGGTTAGGATTGAATTCGGGTTGATGATTTTGGGCAGATTTCGGGTTATTTTACGAGTTCAATTTGGGTAGAGCCCAAAATAGACTTGTTGTTTTATACTAATACATATATTACATAATGTTCACCTAAATTAACAACCAATAATTTCAACTAAGTTTTTAATAAAAGAGGCTGAGAGAACAAGAGAGGCAAAGAGAACGAGAAAACAAAGAACAATAGAACAAAAATAAAAAATCAGTGTTAATGCTTTAAATATATATAATTTTTTTTTAATTTGTCGGGTTCGGGTTGAATTCGGGTTCACGAGGCCTTAACCCGAGCCCAACCCAAATTGAATTCGAGTTAAAGTTTTTTGACCCAACCTCAACCCAATTATTAAAAACTCTTGCCCAAGCCCTAATTTTTTTGAGTTGGACTCGAATTGAAATCGAGTTGTCCAACCGAAGTTGTACTCCTAGAATCTAGTGATCCCCATAAAATCCACAAAACCCGGAGATATACCATTTGGGCCTTGGGCTGGCCATAAGTGGACTTTAGATAAGGCCAGAGAGGCCCGTTGATAACGGCCCGTAAAGTAGAGGAGTCCTAAAAGGTTAGAGAGTGAGAAGAGAGAGATATGTAAGTGCACTCTGACAACCCACCAACTCTGCAATGGCTTCCCTCTCGACCTGGGTCCGATACATAGCCCACAAATTCGAATACTCAGTCTCTCTCGGCTGGAAGGTCCATCACAATATCTCTCTCTTCTCTCTGTCTCTCTCTCTCTCTACACATGTAGTGTTTTTGTATTTTTGTAATGTGAGTTTTTTTGTTTGTTTGATGTTGCTCTCACGATTGCGGCGTGTTCACACGATTAATGGTTGCATTTGTTTGGGCTTTGTTGTTTCATTCTGTTACTTGGTATAATGTGTTGTGTTTATTTTCTGGGATTGCTGGATTTTTCCTTGTACAAGTTTTGTAAATTTTCTTTTCCTTTTGAATAACTTTAATGATGTGGTTGGTATGAGGTCTTGGAATTGGACCTGAAGGAAAATCAATAATTGCCTGTAAAATTCATTTCGGAGGCCCGAATTCTATTCTATTGTTCTCAGAATACTTTCTGGGGGCGGAAAATATGGAGTGGCTAGAGATTTTTAGTTTGTTGAAAGATTAAAATTGCTTGAACAGAAAGAAAATACATGTATGTAGGAAAGCTTATGATTTTTTTTCATATGGGTTCTTGAGTTTTGATCTTTCACAAGCTTGTAAATAAGACCATGGTGTAAAACAGAAATGTTGAAAGATTAAAATTGCTTGAACCGAAAGAAAATAAATGTAGAAAAGCTATTATTTTTTATATGGGTTCTTGATCTTTGATCTTTCACAAGCTCGTAAATACGACCATGGTGTAAAATAGAATCCCTTAAGCAGCAGTAATTCCTTGCCCTTTCCCAATTTGTGCACTTCATGAGTGTCTTCCTCTGGCTGCAGAGTAGCAAATTGATTAGAAGCTGAAGCATAGTTATCAAATCGAGATTCTTATTTGGAATCAAAATTCTAAATTTAAGAATCATGAATCGTAAAATTCAACACAAAATTCGAAAAAATATAAAAAAAATCTATATATTTAAAATAAGCAAGATATTAAATATTAAACATTATTGTATTTTAAAAATAAACAATTAAATGTATTCACTTGGAACAAGAATAGGAAATGACCATAATGAAATATCTATTGTCTTCCCAATACCAATGAAGTTAACTAAAATAGGAAAAATCTATATTGACTTGAACATGTAAACTTAGAAAATCACTTTCCACATTTGATTGAAAAATAATTTTTTAATGAAAAGTAAAAACAGAGCATATATTGAAGAAGATGTATGGTGTGTTAGGATTTGGTAGATGTTGTTGAAGAAGAAGAAGCAAAGTTGTAGCAAAGGAGATGTCGTCTATGTGTGATATTCACAGATGCTTGAACAATTGCTGAGAGAGGTGGAGACGTGAACATGAGATATAGAGAGACGCGAATTTTATATTTTGGGGTTAGCCTCTTCTAGCTAAACGATGTTGTAATACTGGAAACAAGGCTTAAAAAAAATTAAATGAATTGTACGATTCGTATTGAATTGTACAATTCTTGCGATTGCCGGCCAAAAACGATTTTATAGTAAGATACGAATTAAATGAGGACTAAATTGAATCGAATCGNTGTTGTAATACTGGAAACAAGGCTTAAAAAAAATTAAATGAATTGTACGATTCGTATCAAATTGTACAATTCTTGTGATTGCCGGCCAAAAACGATTTTGTAGTAAGATACGAATTAAATGAGGACTAAATTGAATCGAATCGTACGATTTTGATAACAATGAGCTGAAGTACTACTTATAATCTCCAACTCAGAAGGTGATCTTATTTTACACAATAGAAAAGATGTTGAAGAGAGCGTTCAGCAAAATCTCTCTCTCACCTCTCTGTCTCGAAACTATACCCATCCATTTCTCCTANATCTCCAACTCAGAAGGTGATCTTATTTTACACAATAGAAAAGATGTTGAAGAGAGCGTTCGGCAAAATCTCTCTCTCACCTCTCTGTCTCGAAACTATACCCATCCATTTCTCCTGATCCTCCGTTTCTTTCAAACTATTTTTTTTAACTCCGTCTATGTGTGCGCTTTCCTTTACAGGGCATAAACATACTTGATACCTTTTTTACGTTGGTTCATGTGACTTAAGNTAACTCCGTCTATGTGTGCGCTTTCCTTTACAGGGCATAAACATACTTGATACCTTTGTTACGCTGGTTCATGGGACTTAAGACTACTACTACTACTACTACTAGCTTCTTGATCCAAATGAAGTTTGGAATTTGTCATTTTTGAGTCAAATGGTTTGGATATTACAAGTTAAAAAAATGATTATTGGTTAGTCCTTTTTGCATTGGTGTGTGGTATGAACTCCAAGAGTGAAATTTGAGGCAGCTTCTTCGAGGCTCACCTCATAAGAAGATGTTTCAGACTTCAAATAGATTTGTTATCCTTTGTTCGTCCTGTTGACTCTTATTTTTTTGTTGTGAATGTTTTGTTGCATTTCCTTTATGCAAATATATACTTATAGCAGTGCTGAATGTTTGAAGTATAGTTTGCATTACTTAGCATGACAGAATCATCAATGTGATGCAGAGCTATACACGAGGTCAAATCACCGACAGTGAAGTAGGTGATACCATATGGAAAAATTTATTTCAAGGGAAGTTGACATATTTGCATTGGAATAAAGGAGAGGAGATGGCCCCGACAATATCAGGGCAGGGGGGAACTCTTCTTGTTCGGAAAATACCTGCAGCAGATCCAACGTAAGTTTATGCAATAGAGGAACTGGCACAATTATTTGGTACTACCTGCTCCAGATATTCCTGCAATTAGATTCCCTCTTCTTCTGACATGGTCCTCTTTGTTTTGCAATTTCCAGTTGAGTTGATGTTGATAGACTTGTCCTAAATTTATACCTTTCATGAGTAGTTGGAATTTATGGATATTATTGAGACTACCTGGGTTTTGCAGGGGATTCATATTAAGCATCTAATTATGATACACTGCATCTAATTTCTGTCTGTGATTATAATTTTGTCTTGTACATTTCTGCAGAATTGTGGATTGGTTTTTACTCCTCACTCTCGAATAGTTGAACTTGGTTTGTTCAATTCTTAATGAGAAGAAGGATCCGCTGGGAATGAATGACAAGGCTGGAACAGTATCTTTATTAGAAGGAAGGAATTAGTAATGAAAAAGAAATGTCATTTTTTAGGTAGGAAAGAGGGATGTTTTCCAATAGCTAAAGCTCTGAAGCTTCTTTCTCTTTAGGCTCCAAGTTGTTTTTGAGTGGGATGGTTTTGTCTTGCCACTTGTGATAAGGAAGGTCACAGTTTCGTAATTTGTCATGTTTGCATTCAGCAGCAATGCAGAACTTTAGAAATTAATGTGGGTCCAAACGTGTGTCCCAAACATTTATTGGTTCACACCATCGGACTTTGTGTGGCTGACCAAATGGTTGTCGTAAAGGTTTTATGACTATAGATTAATATTTTTCATCCCCTATTAACATGTGAAGAAGGTTTGGACTGTGAATTTTACATATTACACAGAACCTGAATTGTGATTTTATGTTAAATTGGAGTTTCTACCCATATTGTGCAGTGGGGATCACCCTACTTGTTGCAAGCATAGATAAAGGCAGGCTACATTATTTGCTTTTAGCGGTCCATGCTAGTGCTGAGATTAGTTCTTAGGTAACGCCTGATCTGAATTATGGCATAAAGATTTGTGAATATACATGTATGATGTGTATGATTCCATGTGATTCCATATATGATCATAGTTTTAAAATATGTGAAAAAAGTAGTTATAAATTGATTCCATGTCGGCTTCCCTTTTGTATGATCATTGTAAATTGATTCCATATATGATCATTATAACTTGTGTATCCTCAAGACCTTGATATGCATCCCCAAAAGCCTTTTGAATATATCCATCAGGTGGTGCTGACAGCGGCCACAGCTGCATCAGTGTGTGTCTTTGTATGTGTGTCTTCATTTTCACAATACTAGGGGTAACCCATTTCTGAAGGCATGGTGCAACATAAGTGAGAAGTGGTGGACTTGGGGGGAGAAATTCAATGTAAATGGTTTTGAGACGGATGTTGGTGACCGTTGAATGAGTCTATTTGAGACCGTCAGATGAACTTATTGAAGTCTACACTGTTTTATATTATAAATCTTGACTGTTTGTATATGTTTTTCTAATAGGCATGTTTTTGTTGGAGATGTTGTGGTCATGAAGAACCCTGAAAACTCGGATGATTATCTGGTTCGAAGATTAGCTGCCATGGAAGGGTGTGAACTGGGGTCTACTGATGAGAAAGATGAGCCTTTTGTTCTTGAGAAGGATCAGTGCTGGGTGTTGACCGACAATGAAAATCTGAAACCGAAGGTATATGCCATTTGCTTGTTTAGATTTTGGATAACTTCTTCATATGTAATAATTGGTGCTTCTCTGTTTCGTGGAGTTTTATTTATGATTTGGAGTTTCAAGAAAGCAAAAATGATGAAGTGATTAGTATGTCTTGAACATATATACCTCCGTGCATGAAATTTATGCTTTCCGTATCTTGTATACACATCAATTTTCTTGAGTGTGGAATCTCAACGATATTTGTCTTTTGCCATCGTAGGAAGCCAGTGACAGCCGCACATTTGGTCCTGTTTCCATAACAGACATAGTTGGCAGAGTCATATATTGCCTTAGGACAGCTGTGGATCATGGTCCTGTGCAAAACAGGTAGCTGCTTAAACTCAAACAACATAACTCATTACTACTGTATTTTAGCAAGAGTTGTGGTGATGATTGAAGGTCATGTCACTTTGCCAGTTATTTCAGCATGCAGAAGGATTCACCTGTGTTGCAAATTGAATTGGATGTCAATGAGATGGCCAATAGTCACAAACCATAGATGATGGCGATAAAGCAAAAGCTCTAACTTGATTGCTTTGTATGTGCTTCATGTGTCACTCATTTTCATGTTGGACCTCTTGTGGGCCTTTTTGCGTACACGAGAAAAATAGGAGTCCCAAATCTTCCAGGAGATCGTCTGTTCTGAAATGGTGGCAAATTTTTTGTTTTCTTTGTTCAGGTGTGGTGATCTTTTGTTGGGTCTCTCTCTCCCTCTCTGCAACTTATTCTTGGTCCTGTATCGGATTTTGAGTCTTAGGGATGTAATTGAACTTGCTTTGAGAGAATGTTGTAGTTTCAAAGATGTGAATAGATAGCATCAAGTGACCACTGAAGTTAAGGATGCTTATCTGGGGTACTAATTTTCATTGATAGAAAATTAGATTTGGTAAAAAAAAATTTGGGTACATTGGAAAGGTAAAAATAGTTAAACAGAATTCCTACTGAAAGCTACACCAGCCAGATCTGCATTAATCTGATTTCCTATGTGGGTTGGGGGTTGTTCCAACCCAACTAATCCAATTTGTTGCTGAACTCCCATTTTCGCCAACGCATCTTTACATTGGTTTCCTTCTCTTAGGCAGTGGATGATTGGGATACCACTTGTTCCATCAGCTGCTTACTGGTTGCGGTGAGGCCCTGTTCGGGTTGGTTTCTTCTTGGGGACTATTGAGGAGTCTTGCTGTCTCTAGAGAGTCTGTCTGCACTACCACATGGCTGATCCTCCTGCTCTGTATTGTCTCCATTCCTCTTGAGTATGGCCCAGAGTTCAGCTTGAATGCTTCTTGTATTATCATTCAATCTTCCATAAAATCCAAGTAGCGATTGGCCTTGGTCATTCCTGATGATTCCTCCCACTCCTGGGGGGCCTGGGTTCCCTTTCGAACGTCCATCAAGTTCCAATCTGCAGGTGGAAACAATCAATTAATCTTTCTGGTTGGTTTCTCTGGGTATGTTAGGAGTGGCCCATAAAAGTCATTGAAGGAGTCAAAAGCCAATAGCCAGGCTTCCCTGGCCACTAACTTATAATTGGTCCGGATGGCATCAATGCTCTCTCTATTTCTATCCTTCCACATTTGGTAAAACTTCAACAATTCAACCACGGTATCTTTCTTAGGCATTATGTATGAAGGATAGATAGTTACATTAGATTTCTGGGTAATTTGCATGGTCTTTTTGGGCTGAGGCCCCTCGGGTCTAACCTTCTCAAGTGTTGTGTTATTATGGTGGCCAGTCCTAGACCACAATAGCGGTATAGGTGCTCGAGTTTGTTGAATTATGTGGAAACAGTGCATCAGTCGAGCATTGCTTTGAAGTTAAAAGCTACCTGCATTTTATCATTCTCTGACCCTGCAATGATGGAAGGCTCACACACTTGGTTGTTCTTGTAATGTGTACTAAGGTTGAATACCATTATTATTGGGCTGAGTAAGATATTTTTTGTTAAGAGTTGAAAACAGGATTTCGAGATTACCTTAAACATATTCCCATCTGAGCTAACTTGAAGGATTTTGTCACTGCTCTCTCTCTCTCTCTCGTATGGCACATGGAGTGAGTTTAAGTACATACATAAATAGTGGCACATGCTTAGACGTTAACTCACACATGGACTTGCGATGATCTAAGCTAATGTATCTTGTATTGATTTGTCACTTGCCTAAACACAATTACGCAAACCCTCAATGATTTTTGGACTATTTTGTATAGTTAGTTATCGTTGGTAGGTGGGATAATGCGCATCGTCATCAATATTGTTCAAATTGATGTGTTATGAATCGCGTGTATTTTATTAGGGATATGTTATGAAACTAAATTATTCCAAAAATGATACAATGAAAATATAAAAATGCATTTGAAAAGATAAAAATACCCATGCTTTCTAGTCTACCATCACCATCATCACCCTCACCCTAGAGGATCACTGCCATTTAACATTCTTAAATATGTGCTTTTAGTGGAGGGTATTGTCAGGGTCGGGGTAGGGGGTGGAGGGTCTGTCAAGGTTGGGGGCGGGATTGAAGGATCCATCTCTACCACACCACCTCAATCCCCCAGCAGTCGTCCTCCCCCACCATGCATGACCAAACGCCTCCGTCAACCATCCTTCACCCTTCATGAAGTGTGAACTCAAAGCGTGAGATTGGGTTGTTTAAGCTAAATGGCTAGAGGCTCGCGTCTAATTAGGGGTGACAATTTTTGATACGACACGATAACTCGATACAAAACACGATACGAATAAATGGATTTGACTTGATTAATTTTTTGACACGATCCGCGTATGACACGACTCGTCAACACGAAGTGTTAATGAGTTGTGTTCGGGTTCAACCCGTTTAACACAAATTGACCCGTCAACACGAAATTTTTAATTCGAAAGAATTGACTTGACATTTTCGTTGCATGTATGAGTTTTCATGTTTTGATGACTTGTTATTATTTCTGATGTTTAATTTGGTTGTATGACGTACAATTAACATATTTAATTAGTATTATATAAATAAAATATTAATTATTTGTAATTGTTTATCAAGTATTGACATAATTATTGTATAAAAAAGATACTATTACTCATTATTGTTGTTATTATTATTATTAAGTTAATTTTAGTTTGTAGAAAAAGTAAGAGGAGAGATTCAATTAAGTGAAAATAAAATCTTAGCGTTAAATTTTTTATTCAAAGTTTATGTAGGTCAACACGAATATGAACACGAACACGACACGAAAATAAACAGCTCAACTCGACACGACACAAATAATTAAATGAGTTGGATATGAGTTGACTAATGTTCGACACGACTAATATTTGACACGACATGAACCCGAGACAACATGATTCGATTGCCACCCCTATGTCTAATAATCCAAGTTTGCAGGTAAGCACAAAATAACAAAAAAAAAAAACACGCAAATTATAGTGATTTACCAACTTAAAAGTTTGATTAATTGACTCTAATAAAATTTTTTGCTCTTTATGAGATTTTCTATTACATGAGAAAAGAGATAGATTTATAATATATTCTCTGCCTTCACATATAGAGAAGGCTTTAATGTTATATACCTAAAGATGGGGGGGTCCATTTGTCATCATAACATGGTTCCAAATTTGTTAAAATTTCGTTGAGAGAATATTGAGATTGTTACGGACTATATTTTTTAAGTGTGACTTGTCGTGACTTTCTAAAAATAGGATGACATCATTCCAGAAGGTCAAGTTCTTGAAACCACTGGATGAACTGTTGGGCTGGAACTTGGTTGTTTGTACATCCTTCTCTGCTGAAAGAACTTGCTCGCCATTCCATTCATCGAAAATTACGTTGTTCGAGATCGAGATGTGATAAGAAAAAATCAATTTGCTGAACATGGTATCATCAACCCTCATTACCACCATTATTACAGTTTGACCAATCACCAAGTAATCGTCATAAAACAATATTTTGATGTAGTCATTTTTTCCCTCTTGGTCTACTGTGGGTTGCACAATATTGATTAAAAAAAAAAAAACCATCAAATTTCTCATGCTAAATAAGTGTGGAACCTTTTAGGGATGATTTAGTTGCTGAGTCTAACCTCTAGTAATTCAGAATCTCACTCTGTTTTTCAGGAGATATGTTTTAAACTTGTTTGAATTACAATAATCAATATCCGAATTCGAAAGAATAGTCAGGTACAAATCTAAATGTCCTATAACAAAAAAATAAGTAAAATAAGCCTAAGTGGTCGAATATGTGTTCAACTAACTTTCCCCAACTTTTCCCGACCTATTCATGGATTACATCATTTGAAAATTTGAAATTTTGTAAAATTTTTTATAAATTCAATGTTATTTTATTGATAATTTATCAAAGACTAATGCTATTGGGTAGCCAACATGGTCTAACAATATATTATTGCATATATCTATCTATACTATTAATAAAAATACATAAATATGAAAAAAAATTATTCACTATTTTATCCTTATAAAGAATTGTAAACGTCATTCTATCCGTGCATAGTTAAATATCTAAATTACCATTATATCTTTATGTATTTAAATCTCCAAATTATCCTCTAACACATGTTCTAATTATCTATTCTCTATGTATAAATATTAATATCTATAAAAATTTTAAATTAATTATACTACCCTTAAAAAATATACGCATCATTATAGTAAGCAGTATATTTTTTTCTAATTAACCTAACTAATTCTTAACTATAGTAAGATTCCAATATTATTAGGATATTAATAATTATTTTTATTTTAATTAATTAATTATAAGTAGAATCATAATCAAATAAATTTCAAAAAAAAAATTAATTTTTCAAACATCACTAAAAAAATCACTTTCAATCCCAAATTTTTTAAAAATAGAACTTTAATTATTATTATTATTTATTAATTTTCTTATAGTTAGACTAATGAATCATCAGGACAGACAATGTTTTCATAATTGTATAATACAATTTAAGCGATAAAAAAATAAAATTAGTAAACTTGAAATATTATTAAATTTAGACACATATATATCTAATATTTTTTATTAAGTTTTTATATATAACAATTATTCACTTGCAACACATGTAGTGCATTGCTAGTATATATATATATATATTTAATTATTAAATTTTTTTATTACAATTATATTACTTAATATAATATTATGTCAATAAATTAGATCAAATTTATAAGTTAAAAAGATATTATTCAATGTTAAAAGCAACAACTAGAGGGTGGATTATAGGGTTTGGTTGGGTGGCCTGATTCGGTCTGAACACCACGGTAACATTACATAATTACTATCATGTAATATTATTATTCAATAATAAATAGGCAAATGAAGCATACCTAATTTATTAATCACTTCCTAGCTATGTATAAAACTAACTATTCGTTCACCTTATCCACTTATACAGTAATGACGCTGAGTTAGCGTTACCTCTAATATTTACTCCACGTAACCCTGCCTTCTTACACTTTTACCCTCACACAACCCAGCAATTCCAAACGGTTCCCTCATCAACTGGCTATACCTAAATCAGATTAGCAGACAGATCCATGCTCGCTGTTTGAACCGCCGCTTGAGAAGACTAAAAACGCAACACCGCCACCGCCACAGCCACAGCCGCTGAGACATTTAAACTATAAATTTCATGTAATGTCGCAGGCAATTCATCTAATCTCCAGGAACGTCCCAGGTAATAATCAATCTTGTGTTCCGTTTCGAACCAGTTGAGCTAACATCGAAAAGTTCAAAACTTGGAAGCTTTTATAGTTACTGCTGTTTCTTTTCTCCCCTCTCTCGTTATGGTCGTTGTTCTCTTCCAAGTAGATTGTTGTTTTTTGGATATTCATGGGCTTTGTATGTTTTTTGGGCGGTGTCTGATAGGAATTTAATGGAGTATTTTAATTTTTTTTGGTGTTGCATGCTTGGTGTTCGATGAAATGACTCAATGACTCTTCTGGTGGATTCTGATTCTAGTTGAAGGCAGTGTTCGCGTACTTGGGTTGGGTGTGTTGTATGTTTCTTAACACTGTTTGACTATGATTAGAAGTGCTTTTTGTGAGTTGTGCATTTTGTGAGTTATAGTTGGTTGGATTCCGTAGGATGAGTCCCGTGAACCCATTTTAGTTGCAAATCAGACCATGTTCAGTTGATGCGTGAAGAAAGTTCATGTCCTCTCTCTCTGTCTCACGTCATCACTTTGTTTCTATGCCTCACCTTTCTAAACATGAGAGACATAAACACCTAAATGCCACACACTGTTTAAGGTCATGACTTCCTTTATTGTTCCTTCTAGTTTTGCGGGTGCGGG